CCGAAAAAGACAAGGAAGATTGGAATGGCTGTTTGCGGCTCATTAGCCATCGTCAGCCAGCCAGTAACAACCGCTGAGAACCGCACCCGCAAAATGCTGATCAGAATTCCAAGGCCCTAACTATTGACCCACGAACTCACTGTCTCGTCAGCTGCGATCGGGTGTAGGAGGCGCTCACATTACGTGGGATCATCTACGACTAATACGGCAGCAAATAATTCGTATATGTATAAAGCGACACAGCAACTGAATGCTATAAATTCTGTAAAATTTGTAATGTATTCGACTGCGAATCCGAAACATCCGGCTCTGGTTCGAGCGATTGTGCCTCCCTCCGAATGTGTTTAAACTGATCGCACACAAGCTCAGTTTTCTCACAAATATAAACACATTGCCAATAATAGCGAACATGCAAGTCCCAGGAAGTAATTGAGAAGACGATTCGATCGCTGGGACCATATTTTTTAATGTCCTGACGTTTCAAAATCAGTCGCCGATTCGTAACCAGAAACATAATCAGAACCGTAGCATACAACGGTAGCGTATGCACTGCAAACTCCTGCGCATACGCTACCTGCATCTGCTGCGGCTCTCTGATTATATTTCTGATGATGAATCTGCGACGGGTTTCGAAATTTCAGACGAATAAAAATATTGTCCCAGCGATCGAATCGTTTTCTTCCCTATAAGCTACATTGCACTGCGCTTCAGAGCTGCCCGTCCCCTTCATTGGACAGATAGTCCACCTGCTTTCCAAATTAAAGTCGTGCATAGATCCTACCATACGGGTCCTTTGCTAATTTTAACGCAACTCGAGGTAGAAAACGACTATACGGGAAAAGGCAAAGTCGAGCAGAAAGGAGCTCGAACGACCAAGCGCAGTTAGACGAATCCTACTACCCGAATGGAGATGCCGGACTAGGATAACTGTTGGATAGAAGCAGCAATCCTGGGCCACCAAGCTATAAAGCTGTCCTCGAATAGCAGCTTGCTTTGTCGTGACCATGCTACTGTTGTAGTGA